GACGTGGAAGGCCAGGCGAGCCCGGGCTCTGGCTCACAGCGGGCGGTGACACCCTCAGTGACAAGCAGCCAGGAAGACCGCCGGCCTCCAGGCCGCCACTTGGCTTTAGAACCTAAGAACTCACATCCCCAGACGGGAACGTGTACGTTGTGACGCGAGACATCCCAGCAGCCGTACCCAAGAAGCACCACCACACCCCGGAGAGGCCAGCGTCACCCCCTCCAACGGCGGGTCTGTTATTAAGGCTTCACGTGCCCCTCGGCTGCACAGGAGCCAGGCGCCCGGCGACACTTACCTGCAGCTGGCAGGCCCAGAGCGAGCCGGGGAGGCCGGAGGACACGTGAGCAGCCCTGGGGCTTGGCCGCAGGAAGGTGGCGTGACGGCCCACCTCACGTTGCGCCTCAAGAAAAGGAGCACTGGCGGTTGCGGGAGGCCCTGGAAGTCCCTCACCTGGCAGGCAGCGGCGCCCCTTCTTTGGCTGAACCCACCACCCTCTCCGTGAGCCACAGGGAAGCTACACAGGCCTTGGGCGGCCCCTGGCCTCTGGCCACCCTCCCCTCAGCCTCTGCTTTGCTGCCCAGTGACACGGCCTTCCATCCCGAGGCCCCCTCCCACCCGACACCCCGCCCGCAGTGGTCTGTGTCAGGACTAGCTCCTGGCCCAGGTGGGGCGGGGGGTGCTGCTGGCCCCTGTTGGCGCAGGAAGCAGAGGGAGAGACGTCTGGAGAGGAGCGGGTCACGGGAGAGGGAGAGGCCAGAACAGACGCAGCCACCACAAGGGCCCGTGAGGAGCGCTGCTGGTCTCTAACGGCCGCCCTGTCCAGCCCCTCCGAGACGGAGGCTTGCTGGCAGGCCGGCCGTGGAGTCTGGGCCCCGGGCGCCAGTTGGCCAGTCCTGCACAAAACCTGCCAACTCTTGGCCTTGACCCTCTCCTCTAGGCAACCTCCTCCCTGCAGGAGCGGCCTGAAGAGGGCCTGCTAGCCCTTCAGGGGCCCAGCGTCATGTTCTTCTCTGAGGGAGCTCACTCACTCATTTTTCCTGGGTGCCACCCTGGGAATAAAACCCTGACCAAATCCTGGCCCCGCCTTCTAGTGGCTCACCCTGCAGTCCGGGCCACAGACTGCTTTGCTGGTCCACGTCTCAGGGCCTGGGAAGGGGGTGCCCAGAATCTTCCCTCTGCTTTCGGCACAGCCACTTTCTCCGCACCCTCCGAAGCCCAGCCCCACTCCGTGAGCCCACTCTACAGCTGCTGGACAGTGGCCTTTCCCGCTGCGCTCCCTCCCAGCCCACGCTGGGCGGCCACGGCCCCGGCCCCGAGCTCCACAGCCTCAGAGGGTCCCACCACCACCACCCCGAGCTTGAGCCTGTGGGTGAGTGAAGTCTTGGTGAAGCTACGGAGAGCTCCAGGTATCAAAAAACATTTTCATCGAGTTAAAAACCCCTTGTTAGGATTTCCCCATTTAACACAGCTTGAACTGGATCAGGCAACACTGAATTCTGATGTATTTCTTACATCTGCGTGTCCAGGCTTGGGTTAATGCTGTTTTATCGAGCTTGGACTGCGGAACAAGAGCTCCCCTCCTTGAGAAGAAGGGGAGGAGCTGGGCTTTGCGGGGTGCAGAGAAGGTGGCTGTGCCGGAAGTGAGGGGAAGATTCTGGGCACCCCCTTTCCCAGGTCCTGAGACGTGGACCAGCAAAGCGGTCTGTGGCCAGGACTGCAGGGTGAGCCAGGATTTGGGGAGAGAAGTCTGCTAGCTGGAGTGGCTCTTGCATCTTGCCTAGGCCAGATGTGAAGGGTGGAAGGCAGCCGCAGCTGAAGGGAGGAGGTGGCAATGGAGAGAGCCAGCTGGGAGTGAAGGAGAATGGGCCTCCCTGCTGGTGCAGGGTTAGGGCGCAGCACCATGACTGTCCTCAGACACTGCAGCACCAGTTTGATCCCTCAGGGAGTGACCCACAGGGCACAGCAGGCCTCTCCTGTCTCGCCCTCAGCGGTGTATTTCAGTCAATCTGCCTGTTCTGCTCCCCACTCTGTCTCTGGTGAATCCTTTCACCCCCCCACCTCTGGCCTGTACCCCAGTTCTGTGCACATAAATAAATGAATCTTAAAAAAAGAAAAAACAAGGAAGAAGACGCAGGCTCCCCCAGGGGAGTCTCCTGCCCAGGAGAACAAATCTGCTCAGTAAGAGAGAAGGTGACTCAAGCAGTTAGGAAAGGGAGTCACTAGCTCAGGAATATTTTAAGAAGTATCGGAAATGGTGGCAAGGTCTTGAGCTAAGTGTTTACTATGAGCAGGCTGCCAGGGCTTGGCTTTTAGATACACTATGTCGTTTCATCTTCTAAAGCAGCGTGGTGCTCTCATTACCCCCAGTTTTGCAAATGAGGAAACTATGGTGTAAGAGATGTAAAAGCTTCGCCCAAAGGCACACACCAGGTTTCTCTGAGTCTGCATGCTGCGGCTGGGACCAGCCGGGTTCCTTCTTTCTCCTGTGCGTGCTGTGCAATGCGACAACAGGTCCCACCTTGCACGGGCTCATCTTACTTTAGAGAATGAAACTTGGACTCGGAGCGACGAAGAGAATTGTCCCTTAGTCACACAGGGCCCGGCTGCTCTGCAGCGGGATCGCAAAGGGCACTAGAATTCCAGCCCAAGCCCCGCCGGGATCCCGGGGTGGGGGCAGATTTCACCGCGTCCCGGGAATACCTGTCGGCGGTGCGCCGGCACTGGGCTGAGACGACTCCGGACAGGCGCGGGGCACCCGGGGCCCCCCC